AGCTGTTCTGTCTAGACAAGCGGTATTTTCCAAGCAAATATACTTCTAGTCTTTGCTTCAATTTCTTCGTGGTATCCGACATTATTACGTCCTCGGGAAGCCCGTTCGAGGCACCGACGACTCGTCGGGAAAAAGAGCATCTGCAAACTTCCAGAGGGCATCGGGAGCCTCTAAGTTTTAGAGCGTTTTAGAGAGGTTTGTTGTTGTGGCCAGGGTGAAAAAATCGTCGATGTTTAGGGCACAGGCCCGGTTCCACAATATCAGATACGCCTGCATGAGATCTCCTCGAATCTGCCTGTACTCAAGAGTTCACTAAGTCTCCTGTTGTAAGGTGAAGTTCTGAGGCCTTTCACAATTTTTGTCGCCCTCCTCTGAACTCCTTTTAGCAACTTATAGTCTTTTTTTGCCACGAACGCCACGCTTAGGTTCCATATTCCAGATGCGAACAAATGAACGCTCCGTATACTTTTCCAAATAACGCTTTGTCTGCATTTATGAAATTTCTTTTAATTGCAAGTAGAACACTGGCTGCCCTTTGGTCGCACTAACGCACTAAGAGGAAGGCTTAAGAGTCGACAAAATATTAATCCCAAGATCTTGTTGTTCGTTCACATGTGAAGGGCACCTTCCACCAAGCAAGTAATGGTCATCCTCTCCATCAGCTCTTCCGGTCGTTTTGAGTCGCAGCGCGACGAACTTCTCAGGTTTAAACTTCAGCAGCCATTTTTCAGACCATTTTCATAGGCGGTTAAGTCCTTCTTACAGGGCCCATTCATCATTCATCGTCAAATATGGCTCCATTCCATTCCAGTCCATTCATACAGTTGTTTACATAAATTAAAAACAGTACTGGTCGGAGTACAGAGCGCTGAGGAACACCACTCACAACTGGCACTGGCGTTGACTTCTCACTACCAATAGACACAGACTGTGGTCGACCAGTCAGAAAGTCCTTTACCCAGTTTAATAGGTTTCCCCTTATCCCTGATCCTCGGACCTTGTAAAGTAACCGGTGGTGTGGAACACTATCAAAGGCTTTCTTGCAATCTATGTAAACGATATCGACCCTTGTTCCTTCGTCTAACGAGCGAGACCACTGTTCCGTTCTTGCATTCTGTGTGGAATATGCTCTCTCATGCTGACGCTCTGACCTACTTTGTCTTTTCGGGATGCTTTGTGACGTCCCCTCGTTTTTTGAAATGCCCTTTGGACATATTTCTCTCGCACATGAGACAGGTTCTCGGTTGTGATTCGGTCTGCAGACGTGCTGTCTCCTTTTTAGGAGCTAATACAGATGCTGAAGTCGTATTGGGAGTTTTTCTAGTCATCTTCTGAATTTCCGACATAGCTATCTCTCTCCTTTCGGATGAAAT